GTCAAGAAGGCTTAATTCCCAGAGCCTCGGAAAGGAGAGGGGCTCTGATGACATCCTGACTCAGACTGCTGGCCTCAGAAGGATGAACAAAAATATTTCTTGAGAAGGCAGCTATCAGAAATGGGACTGCCAGCAAATCCTCCCAAGACTCACCTTTAAAATCTGTAAGATAGGGATGAGTGTGTTCCATAGTGTTTCTCCACATTTGTGCCAATATGTGTCTCCATGTTTTGTGGATTAAAAGGGAGTCATAAAAAAAGTCAGAAATTACCACAGCAGCAATAGCATTGCTGATGCAACTGCTTGGTATCTTGTCTGAGAGTTTTCAAACTGATCACAGCCAAGACTGGGAGGAAGGACAGTGCCAGGATCAGCTCAACCTTCTTCAACCCTGAGTTAGTATTTACCAAGTGGATTAAATCTGCAAATTATAATAGGTAATTATCACTTTGCTTTAAGAAAAGGAAATATTCCAGTCTATTTTAATCATGTTTGTTCCATGACTATGGGGTATGAAGAGAAGTCTGTTTAAGATATATTAATAATCCTCAGAATGTTTCTAGAGGGTTTCTATGTTGTGGGCTAAGGTGCACCATGGGATTCAGAACCCAAGCATCTTTTCTTCCTAATTCATCCTTTATCTCAAAATCTTGCTGATTTTAGGACAGACAGTTCCAGTTTCAGGGGAAAGAAAATAGTAGCCTTTACCAGAAATTCCTGGGTACAGTACAAAGCCAAGCCAGACTCAATCAAATATACCCTTGAACTTCTGCTGGCTACTTCATAGCAAAGCTCAGAAGATACTCTCAGCTCACTCAATAAGAAGGGCTCTTCCTGAGCTGGAAGGAGACTGAGTCAGGCACTTGCCAAAAGCCCTCCCTCCAATCTAACACAAATAAAAGTACAAGAAGGATCTTGGCACACAGCTAGTGATCTGAGATGATTTGGGTTTTCCTATGACTCCAATCAGGGGAGCCAGGCCATCGTGGCTCCTGGAAGGACATGCTGAACATTCAGGTTATAACACTAAGTTAGGGACTAGAGGAGAATAGATTTTGGAAACAGTACCTTCAGGTGGTGGCCATCCTAAAAATGGTAATATTAGCCTCCGGATGACCAATTTTGCCAGCTATGTGATCCTGGTCTAGTTATTTGACTTGGCTCAGCCTTGATCCCTTTTGCAAAACAGGTTATAATAGCAACTCCCTTATAGGGAAGCTTCAAGGATGAGCCAGAATCCTGTATGAATTCATTACTCAATAAGTGCCTTCCTTCTACTTCCCTGATGGAATGCAGTACATATCCAACCCTTCTAGTGAGGAGTCTCAACTATGTCAACTATAGCATCAATTGTTACATCAAAGATCGTGCTTTGGGAGAGAGGTTGTTGGGGCATGGCAAAGACCCTCAAAAGAGCCTTCATGGAGAAAGGAAATGTGCCAAGAAATAGCTAAATACCCCATTTACCCTGTCTGTTTCTGCAGACACTTACTGGAAGCCTCGCCCACCTGGCTTGTGACTCTCCTGGCTACCACAGAACATTGAGTCCCTCTCCTGCCAGGCCAAAACTCTTCCTGATAACACCGGACACATCCCCAAACCCCATTCCACAGGCTCCGTTAAGCAGATCCTGGCAGTCTAGATGGCTCATGGCAGATGGTGCCATGTGGACTAATCAAGAAGTCAGACAAGAGAATCCTACCCCCTCTTCCATTTGCCAGGAAAAGCGATTGTTTGGATTTTAATCATAGCCACAGCTAAGAGCCAATGTGCAGCCCCCTCCAGCCCAAAGATAAATTTTCCACTTTCAACATTCAATTCTTCCTCAAAAAATAGACCCCCACCAGGCTGATTGCTCCTTAGGGAAGGGCTTCTTCATCCACCAATATCATTTTTTTCTGATTTAACACTATGACAGAAATAAAATACTGTTTGGATATGGTGGCACTCACACACTGACTCACTCTGCAAGGAATGTCTTCATTCCTCCATAAGTTACGTCTAGCTCACTGGTATATTGATCCCAGGCAAAGATGAATGCAGAATCCCATGATCCTCTGGGAGAAATGTGACATTTTCTTTAAATATATATCCACAGAACAACTGTTTCTAAACCTCCATGAAGCAGGTCACCAGGCCAGCACACCATTGATTTCACATCCAACGATTTCTTGGAAAGAACACTGAACATTTTCTCAATAATTCAGCCTCTACCAGACCCTGACATCGTCTTGGGGGACACTGTCTCTGGCCTCCCCTATGTTAAGGGGCAAGGATTGTAGGGGAACTAGATGCAAAAAGACAGACTCTTTAAATCAGTTTGTGGTCATTATGCTCTGTGGTGGTTTTAAAAGAGGTGATTCAGGCATTTAAAAACTTGGTCCCCCTTTGGTGGCTGTTTGAGAAGAGTTAGAAGGTATGTCCTTGTAAGAAGAGGTGTGTCACTGGGATAGGGTTAGGTTTCAAAAGGCCACTATCATCCCCAGTATGTCCTCTTAGCTTCCTGGTGTTACTCTAGCGCTGTGGCTGCCTGCCTGCTCTCATGCTCTGAGCCATGCTGGTGATGTACACCTATCCCTCTGGGGCTCTAAGCCCCAGATAAGCACTCCTTTTATAAGTTGCATTGCTCATAGTGTTTTTCTCAGAAAACTAGCTAGCACCTGCTTCATCTTCATTTTTAATTTGGCTGGATTCAGAATCACCTAAGAAACATGCCTCTGGGTATATGTGAAGGAGTTTGTAGATTGACTTAGTTGAGGAGATAAGACATGCCCTAAATGTGTACGGCACCATTACATGGGTTAGGGTCCTGGGCTGAGTAAAAGGGAACAATAAGTGGGCATCATCATTCATCTCTAGTTGCTTCCTCACTATAGAAGCATCCTCACACTCTTACTGCCATGACTTCCTCACCATGATGGATAATATCCTCTCAAGCTGTAAGCTGGCACAGACCCTTCCTCTCTTAAATGTATCTTGTCAGTCTTACTTCTACCCACTGGTCTGAAAAAGCAAGGTCATATTACCCATGCGACAGCAACGGAAAATGCAACTGATACAGAGAAACACTTAGCAAAGACTCATAGCCATTCACTTTTTGCAGAATATATTAAATAGGGTGAAAACGGCGGAGGACAGTTATGCACAGTGGTCCAGGCTTTCAGTCTGCACACCCCTGCTTATCTAATGGGTGACTTGAAACAAGAGTCTTCCCTTGCTAGGCAATTCAATGTCCTCCAATGTGGCATGGTAGTGAGAATTCCTACCTTACAAAGTTGTCTTAAGGATTATGTTAAATAGCATACAAAATTTAATAGATTACTGTCACAGTGTCTGGCACAAAGGAATAGTTTGGAAATCAGTGATAGTAATAATTATAGTGGCCATGCCAACTTACCCCTAAGGCTCTCCATTAAGTTACATTGAGTTCAAGATGGAATGAATAGAATGCAACAAGTACAACAGTCCTAACATTAAAGATCTGCTTGGGAGAATGTTTTATAAACATGAATTTATTTACCTTCCTTTTATTATAAGAGGTTTTCGGTGTCCATCTCAATCTCAACCAAATGGTACTAAGAACTCTGATCACTAGGCCTACTGATGCCCATGCCAGAATATCAGAGTAGGAGCCTGGCAGGGAGGTACACAATTATAAGAAGGGAAAGGAATATACAAAAATATTGTCCATTTTTTTAGACTAGTTCTCACTGTGCAGCCCAGATCGACTAGCCTGTAACTCATGTATCTCAGGCTAAACTAAAACTGTTGATCCTTCTGCTTTTACCTTCCAGGCATTGAGACAACCACAAATCCCAGTTAGCAACACCTTCAAAGTGGCAATCATCCCTGGGATGATTCTGGAAAGGATTCTGTGAACAGTCAGGCCACAAAGAGAAGGACATATGCTAAGTTGTCAAGGGTGATGAGTTACTGGTATGCAAATAGTCTCTTTTCTATCAGGTGGTCTGAAAAACCAAGGTTATAATGTATCCATGAACATAGATCTGGGCAGGTGAAAAGAGGGGGTTAAAGGCCCATAGTCAAGGCAGAAGTCCAAGATCATTGCTTCCTGATAAATGCTAACTAAGATCACATACAAGAAATCTGGATCTGAGTCACCAAGTAAAAAGGAACACATGAGCAATCTCTCCAAAACTCATACTCCTTATCTCCATGCATGCTGAAATTTCTTTTCAATGTATTCCTTGATTTGTTTCCTCAACATAATACACTGTCCTTCATGCACAGAGATGACCCTGATGACTCACACAGCAACTTGAGTTATGTTCTCCAGTCTCCAGCAGTGGTCACGAATTTGCACTCATCCAGCCAACATCTGTTTGCACAAAATGGCTGGCTGGGGTAAGAGTGCATTGATCAACCTTGGAATGCAACAAAGCTAAGTAGTCTACACGCAGAGAAAATAAATATAAGCCCTCTCCCAGGGCCTAGACTTCAAGCGAAATAAGTTGATAGGATATCGTGAGCACTGTAAGGGCCGTAGTCTGAAGCTGGAAAGCCATGCTCAAGAATCAATTACTCAAGTCCTTAACAATGCAACTGTGGATGATTCTTGAGTGAGTTTCTAGGGCTTAAAAACTCTCAGTAAATGTCATGACTCTTATTATGGTAAACCTAAGATCATGTAAGCAAACCCATACCTGATAAAGCTACAAAGGTATGTATAGCAAGTATTATTGTTCAGAAATTGACTAATATCGTTATTATTAGGAATATTAAAATTGTTACTGTTGATTACCTACAGATCACAAAACAAAGGCTAATTAAAATATGAGATTCTGTCTTTTGACACAGTGTGCTTAGAAAAAGCACTGAAAGTCAAGTCCATGGAGGGGGGTGGGTCACTGTCACTGATGCTCAATGCCATCCAACCCAAACATCCCAGCCACCGGGTAGTTCCAATGCTTGACACTCTTCCCCACCCGACCATTACCAGCTCTCTGCCACCTGGACAAAGTCTTCAATTCCGAACTTACAATTCCCGAAGACTCAGTGTCTGGAAGAGCTGCCAGGAGAGTGTAGTGAGCCGGTTACTTGACAAGTTTCTGCAAAAAAAAAAAAAAAATGACAAATAAAGGGGTAGTTAAAGGACAGATCCAGCATCAGCAAGACCCTGGATGGAGGCCTTAGCCATCTGGAGGCAGGCTTTTGAGTGCTTCTTTTCCTTCACCGTATTTTGCTGATGGTGTGTATCCTATAGTTGAGACCATGGGGCAGGTGTGAAGGAGATGCTAAAACCTTTTCCAAGGATAAAGTTTTACACATCAAGAAACAAAATGGTTCTCTAAGCTACTCCTTGTGCTGCTCTTTCATAAAAGCTCGGGCAGCCTATTTGAAGCAACCTTCTCTAGACAATAGTTCTGGGGATAACCAAGCCCATGCATCCTTTACCATCCACACAGGCAGGAAATCCTCAGGTTCCTTATAAATTCTTTTCACCCACTCCTCCCCAAGAACACATGCCCATTTCAGAGATCAAGACATCAGCCTTTTGTTCACACATCTCTTCTCCTAATGGCTATTTAATTGTTCTCATTAGGATGTACAGGGGAAGGGAGCAGCCATTAGTCTTCTGAATAAAAGAAGAAAGATGCCCACGGTTATTACTCCGCCAGGCTCAACAAACAACTTTTGATGTGATAACAGCCCTTAAAGGCAGTAGCTCAGCACTGCGAGAAATGAAGTGGCAACCCAGGAACAATGTACTCATTTGCTGATGGGAATGGATGGCAATTCTGGTTCCATCTAGATAAGAATCCATATACACATGAACATGTATATATTTGTATCTATTAAACACATAGGTAACTATACAAACACAGACTTTTGTTTACATACACACACACACACACACACACACACACACACACACACACACACATGCTTCCATATGCATTTATATTTAGGTGACTTCAGCAGTAAGTAGAAGAGTCAAATATTGGCTGTGCTGAGGTCTGAGGCATAGACCATTGATAAGGAAGATGGAACCTTAACTTCAAATTATAAACAAATAAGCAGAAAAAATAATATAAACAAAATGACAAGAGTAATTGGGAGTGGAGCTACTTCACTTGGGTGCTTGAAGAAGAACCTTCTGAACAGTTAACATGGGACCTGGGAAAAGAAAGACTGATAATGAACTGAGAACCAGGAAGAAGCCCAACCAGAAACAGAGTTATGGAGACAGACAGGGAATAAGAAGGAAAGGGATTCATGCCACATTTAAAGACCTTGGGAGGAGACTAGCATTACTCCAAAAAGCAGCCGGAAGCATTGGGTGGCTCTTAGTGGTGAGGTATCATAAACTAAATACCACTTAAAAAAAAAAAAAACTGGACACGGACAGGCTAGTTGGGGATCTTGCCTAGCTTCCAAGCAAGAAAAGGAAAAATAAGAGGAGGAGAGATGGGTTCAAGATAAGTGCTAGGGGAAACATCATCAGAACCTACAACTAGCTCTGAGGAAGAAGAGTGAATTGAGTGGTGGTTACTGTGGTTGGAATATCAAATGCCCTCCAAAGATATGTATTTTGAATGTTTCTTCTCTACATAGTGGCACTGTTTTGAAAAGCCATAAAAATGTTAGGAGGTGGGACCTACCTAGAGGTAGATCACTAGGGATGAGTCTTGGGAAATATATTACCTCTGGCCCCTTTTGTAGTAATGTCTTACTCCTGTCTATCAAGAAGCAAACAGCCTTCCACACACCACCATGATGTGATGCTTAAGGAAATAACACCAAGAGACCATGGACTCTCTGAAACCATCAGCCAAAATATTTTTTATATCAAGTCTTTTGTCACACAACAAAGAAAGTCACTAATATACTGGTGACTAGTGAGGCATTTAGTAATATGAGAAGCCTACTAACAGATCACATTTGGGTAGTGGGACCAAACTGGTCCTCTTGGATCAAGTAACAAAGGAAAGGCAAGAGGTCTCATAATAATGGCAGATTGCTATAATCAATTCATATGTTATATGCATGTATGAAAATGTCACAATAAACCTGTCATTTACATGAGCAATATCAAGCTATTAAAAAAGTTAGTGTACTAACGGAAGAGCTCCCCACTTCTTGTAAACATGAAGTTTGAGGTGCCTGTTACATACCTAGAGAGTGAAATCAAATAGCCTTCTGGAGAGATGTGTTTGTACTGAGACCTATAAAATTGAGAATGTGTTCAGTATGAATCAGGAACAGATTCTCAAACCTAAGAATAGTTAAATAGGACATCCCACTTTTCATTAGATACAACCTATTTGTAATAAGATGGCTGGATCCTATACTGCCCTAAACCAGATAACTTTCTAAGAGAGTTTATGATGGTGTTGGTAATTCAACCCAACTCTAAGGGTACAGGAAACTACTATAATAAAGGAATGCAACTACATGCACATAGCTCCAAAGCCTGGTGCTCTGTTCTATTCCTTGTGTTTATTGCTGTCTCTGTCCAAAGACATTGAACCCACAAAGAGTGCTCTAGGATAAGCAAATGGGCCCATGCAGTTCCACACCTCTCTACAGATCTGAGAGTATTGGTATGATATTACATGTTCATTAAGAGTCATCTTGAGCCATTCATCATGTTCTGCTTTGTGAAACCCTGTGGCTTATTCCTACAAATGTCTACCATTACCCAGCTATCAGAAGAACTAGGGTCACACAAGAACTGTACCAAGATCATTCATGGAAACCCCCAGGGCAAGCTCCCCAAAGCAAACACTCCTGCTCAGCAGAATACAACAATGAGTCCAGCAAATTCCTACAGAGTCACTGCCCCAATCTAACCAGAAGCCTTGAAGCTCAGAGTTTGGGATCAAAAGCCATGGGTTTCAATGCCAGTCTCTGCGCCTTGATTGCCAAAAGCCTGTGTGCCGTTGTAACAAATCTTAGTGCTTGGACCACCTAGGTAGAAGCCTTTATACTGTCTCTGTTTTTCCTGTTTGTTGTCTCTATACAACAGCATCCTTAGGAAACTTGAACAATGGGGGCTGAGGAGATAGTTCTGTAAGTAAAATGTTTGCCATACAAGAATAAGGACTTGATATGGAGTCCCAGAATAGACATAAACATCCAGGTATGGTGGAACAAGCATGTAACCCAAGCACTGGGGGATAGAAATATGTGGATCCTGCCAGTCAGCTAGCCTCTCCTAATAATAGAACTCCAGATTCCAATAAAAGATTGTATCCCATCCCCAAATAATGGTACAAATGGATCCTAAGAAATGAGACAACTGGCATTCACCTATTTGTGTACACATGTACACACACATACACACACACACACACTTAAACAATTCCTGAACTTCCAAATTCACAAGGGAATTCTGGCAGAAGTTTGGAAAGATTCCCAGCCTGCACCTTGAGTTCCTAGCTTCCTTCAGTGCTCCATTGAACAAAACTGATGCTTCAAAAAGCTGAACACTCGCAGCCTGCAGGGACTTCATGCTCATGGAGTCCGGAGCAGCATGCTCCCGATAAAGCACACCTCTGGTAAAAGAGGTTACTAGTAGGAACAAACCATCCTGGAGGCAGGACTGACCCAGGTACACTGGGAAGCCTGGCTCCTTTCTGAGAAAGGAACAGGCAGAAAGCCTTCCAGGAGTTCTGGGGAGCCCCAGGCAGAAAGCGGGCTGCCAGCCACGTCCTCTTACAAAGGTCATGCTTTGCTACACCAGGCAGAAATGTCAAGAGAAAATTGGATTCTGAAAGAAAGAAAATCATAGGCACTCTGGGCAAATAAAGAATAAGAAATAGCATTATTCCCTCCTTATTGCAAGGGAAAGGCAGCTAGGGGCCTGGGACACCACAAGAGGTGTGAGCTTCTGTTCTTCCGCAGAGGTACAGCTTCATCTCCAGCCCACCCAACCCTCCTCTACCCTCCAAGGCCCACCTAGTAGCTTCTTCAGATTTCTCCAGCACATTATGAAGTGCCCACTACAGCACTCATATACTCTGTGTACACACATATACACCCTCACATACATTTCCAGATACAAAGACTCTGCTGCAGATGTCCTAGGAAATGTGCAATGTATATCATGTGCAGCTGGACCCACTGCACTGCCCTAGACACACAAAAGAAGTATCCAGGTCCAGAGACAAACGTACAATCCACAAACACAAGCAGGGTGTGCCTCTAGTCATCCTGCCCTCTTCGGCATTTCTATATTCCCATGAAATGGGAGAGATGGGAAAACAGGTCTGGGGTTTGGATGGCATTAGCATCCAGATAGGCAAAACTTACTGGCCCAGTTTTCCTTCCTGCTGACACCTCACCTGTATCCATCTGTCAGCAGTTATTGATGATCTGATTATGTTGCTCATCAGACAAGAGTTTAATTAAGAGTCACCCTGCCTCGGGGCCCCAGGCAGCCTCCTCCTGGTGCCTACTCCCTAGTAGATCCATTGTCACCTGCCCCTGACATTTGCTTGGGTCAATGGCCAGTATCCAAGTCACCTGACCATCAAATTAGTTTGGTAAGTAAGATTTTACAAGATGAGACCTCTCTCTCTCTCTCTTTCTCTCTCTCTCTCTCTCTCTCTCTCTCTCTCTCATCTTAGACTCCCAAACAAACAAAGCCATTAATTTTGTCCTGCACAACTGGCTCTCCCCCAGCCAGACTCTGGGGACCAGAAGTAATAACAGAATAAACAGTAATGATGGGAGCTTTGAAAGCAAAGAAATAGACACACATATGGTCCCACTCTGGGCCCCGTGGAGAGCTGGACTGAGATGGCCCTTCCAATATTAACTATGAAAGAAATAGGGATCCTCCAAGGCAATTTGACACTCTGTCTGGTAAACAGGTCCCCTAGTGAAGCAGCCTATGGGCCTCCCTAAGGGGAAGCACCCATCTTTAGTAAGAGTGGAGGCCTCTATCACCCTCTAATCTAAGCCTGTTACCCCATGAAACGGTCAGCAAGATGACGGACACTGCTACCAGGAGAAAGAAAGCAGAGGAGCTCGTCTGTGGCCCTTAATACTTGGGCACGGAAACTTGAAAGGGAGATACAGTAAGATCCACCAAGGAGATCCT